TTATTTTGATATATCACAGTGAAAGATTTATCGTCCTCTTTTTTTTTTTTTTTTTTTTTTTTTTTTTAAAAAAAAAAAAAAAAAAAAAAAAAAAAAAAAACAATAATAGGTGTCCATCATTCGCCCAAATGGACAAGGTGCTGTGTAGGAAGTTTCGTCTTTGATTTTCAGAAGTTTTTACAATACTAAGTAGTTGTGTTTAGTTTTAACTTATTCTGTTTCGGTATCCATGGTATTTTTTTAAAACTTGGTTTGACTATTTAGTATTTTGGTAGGTTCTTGGTCTGGTCTTTTCCAGCATGCTGTCTGCTTCATCCAATGCCCACTCCTGTGGGACTCCAGGACACACGTCTCCATGCTCACATCTGTATTTCCACTCTCCTTGCTTCCGGTACATTTCCTGCTTATTTTCCTCCTTGCTCAGCCCCAGTTCACTCATTTCTTCTGTGTGTCTAGCCTGCTACTGAAGTCATTAGCTGCATGTTTATTTATTATGCTTTTAATTTCTACAGTTTCCATTTGATTATTCTTACGGACTTCAGTTCTTCATTGAAATGTGAATTGTTATATTTCCTGGGTTTAAGTATTTTATAGTCTGTTTTATCTCCAATTTTTGTATCAGCAGCGTCTTTCGTTGGTGTTAGGTTTTTGTTTCGTTTGTTTTTTTGTGTGCTAGTTTTGGATGATCTTGGTTTTCACTTGTCATGTTTCCTGACAATATTTTTAATTATTATTTTTTTTTTTTGGCCTTTTTGAGACATGGTCTCCCTGTAGCCCCAGCTGGCCTGGATTCGCTATGGAGACCAGGCTGGCCTCAAACTCACAGAGATCCGCCTGCCTCTGCCTCTTGAGTGCTGGGATTAAAGGAGTGTGCCACTACGCCTGGCCTAATTAATTTTTTATATTGTATCAAAATTATAGTGAGATGGAGTGGGGAACAGGTTTGGGGGAATGAAGATACAAGTTAAAGTGGAGCTGGGGTCTGGAGAGATGGCTCAGTGGTTAAAAGCAATGGCTGCTCTTGCAGAGGACCCAGGTTCAGCTCCCAGTACCCACATGGTGGCTAACAACCATTGGTAACTGCAATCTTCTTCTGACCTCTGTGGGCATTGCATGATATTGGTGTACTTACGTACATGCAGGCAATACACGCATGTAATTAATTAATTAACTAATTGAAATAAAGTGGAGCTGGATGGAAGCTTCTCTGTGCCTGGCGCGCTTGTGTGTAGGTTGTGGCCTCGCTTGAGCTTTGAAGCACTGCAGTATCGGCTAAGGTCATCCTAGGTGTATCTCCCAGGCCTAGGTTTTTGTTTTGCTACCCATAAGAAGCTGCCCAAGTTCTTCCTTCTCTTTTTCCCTCTCAGCAGCCATGTGTCATGATGACTAGGCATCTGACCCTTCAGAAGAAGCTTGGGACTCAGGAATACCCCAGACACTTGCTCCAGGTCCCTTTTCTCTGTGTCCTTGGTCCTTCTGTGCCCAAATTCCTTGGTAACTCTGAACTCGCATTTTCATTTCCCCACAATAATGTGATCACTGCTCAGGTTTGTGTCCCTGATGTCCCTGGACATGCAGCTGCTGATTGGGAGGGTGGTGACCAAAGGAAAGTGAAGTATGCTGGCTCTGTAGAGCTCACAGTCAAGGGAAATGGGCTTCTCCGTAGAGAAGGCTCCTGCTGGTTTAGAGAAAGGCTGTGTACATGCCTGTCCCTCACACGTGACTGACCAGTTCAGGGTGAACAGTGCATGTGGGGATCGGGTTAACTGTCTTTTCTTTTGGAAACAGTGACTGGTGACAATAAACCTGCACGTAGCACGAAGGCACCTCTTTTAACCTACTGTGGTGCTATTGTGATGGTTCATTGTGACCATGGGCAATAGGAAGCTTCAGAAAGCAACTTAGTTCCTTATGAACATGCAGAAGGGGTGAGATTGTGACCCCGTGGATGGCATGTAATCAGGGTCTTTCTGCATTCTGCTTCTTTTCTTCAGAACCACGAGACTGTCCTGAGATTCTCAGCCACACTGTGGGGATGTCAGAGAGCCCCGTCGGACCCAAACCCGCCATGCTTCGGACTGATGCACCGGCAACATCCAACTTTCAGCAGGCGTTTGCATCTTCCTGCACGATTTCAAGCAATGGGCCTGGGCAGAGGAGAGAGAGGTAGGAAGATGGGCCGTTAACCTTGTTTAAGCTCCCCTTGGAGCCCAGAGTGCTGAGCTGAGGGTGGGAGGAAAGGTAGGGGACCAGAACAGGGCCCAGGAGAGTGACCCTGCCTCGACCCAGGCTCTGACTGCTAGTGTATGGAAAATATATGCACACAGGAAATAGGAAAGTAAGTTACAGAAGGATTAAAAAGTGGAAAGGAAGAAAGGGGCCGTGGCAGACCAAAATGTCCTCTCTCTGCTTTACAAAGACACCGGCCTTGAGAAACTCACTAAGGGCAGCTGCCACTCTGGTTCAAAGTAGAAGTAAGCACTTCTGTGTTTCTTGTATGGGTTCCCTGTCTCCTTTCCCATTAAAATAAGGGAGGTTCTTTAAAGACTTGCCATCACATTATAGTGTCTGTACCTAGTGTGTGCCAGTTTAAGCATGTGTATGTTATGTGAACTACATTTTTAGCTGACTTTCTAGGTTTCTGAATATATAATAATTCCCAATAAAGTTGTCACCCCATCTGCAGAGGCTATGGCCTTAAGATTCTCAGTGGATTCCTGAAATCACAGACAGATCCAAATTTTGTGTGTATGATATTTTCCCCAAGCATAGATACCTGCAATAACTGACCTTTTCACTTAAAAGAAGGGTATTACTGCCTCTCTTTATTTAGCATATCCAGATAGCCAGCTCTTTGGAGCCATTGTTTAGTAAAAATGAGAGTTATTTAAACACAAAGACAGTCAGCCAATCAGGCTAACACCAACCTGCATCTGTGACTAATGAGCAGGCAGTACGTGCTGCATGGATATGTTGAACAAGGGATGATTCACATTCTTGGACAGGATGAGTCAGACAGCTCATGATTCATCATGCTGCTCAGAATGGCAGCAATTCAAGACTTATCGATTATACAATTTTTCATTTAGTATTTTCAGACTACAGTCGACTCTAGGTCATTGAAATACATAGAGAGGGTGGGGGAGCTGCATCTCCCATGCTGCCCACAAGCTTCAGCACTGTTCCCCAGCCTTGTCTTCTCTGTGTCTGGTGAGAGTTGCTAATTCTGAGATATCTGCATGCCCCTCACCTTCCCTTGTGCCTGGTTTTTGTCTTTTTAACAGCCCACCTTCTGCACAACGCCAGTGGGTAGAGAGCAGCCCCAAAGCCACCCTCTCCCTGCTGGGGAGCAGCTGTCCCTCTGGAAGTCCCCTCGGTACCCACGAGTTCTGCAGCCCTGGCAAGGACTCATCAGGGATGTCCTGCTTCCCGTCCTCAGACCTCCAGGCCTCCTTCCACAGCCATGATCTGTCCATGACAGAGCCTCCTAATGCTATGCCCACCCCAGGCAGCCAGGCCTTTCTAGGCTTCAGCACTGCCCCAGTAGGGAGTGTCCTCCCACCTAGCGAGGACCCCAGGGCCTTGCTGGTCAATTTGCATGGAGCATCACCAGCCCCTGGAGCCTCACTGACAGCAGCAGGGCCTGCTGACAATGGCTTCCTGTCCCACAACTTCCTCACGGTGTCTCCTGGACCCAGCAGCCACCACAGTCCAGGCCTGCAAGGCCAGGGGGTAAATCTGCCTGGACAGCCACCCTTACCTGAGAAGAAGAGAGCCTCAGAGGGAGATCGTTCTCTAGGATCAGTCTCCCCTTCATCCAGTGGCTTTTCCAGCCCCCACAGTGGGAGCACCATCAGCATCCCCTTCCCTAATGTCCTTCCAGACTTCTCCAAGCCTTCTGAAGCTGCCTCATCTTTGCCAGGTATGTTTCTACTCACTCATTCAGGAGAGTAGAGGTTTGGATCTCCCTTTTGAACTGATCTGTGGACATGTCTTCAGTGTTGGTCATGTGCCCTGCAGGGACGTCTAGACCCTTGAAGGTTCTTTCCTGTCCTGCTGGCTAAAAGCCAGATATAGACCCACTTCTTCTCATGAATTCTGCTCAGCTTCCTTCTTCATCCACATAGCAACTAACTGTCAACTCCAGTTCCAGGGGCTCTGACGCCTCCATGGGCATTGCATACATGTAGTACACTTACATACATGCAGGCAAAACACACTCATACATAAAATAAACATAATTAACTTAAAAAAGAGATAAGAAACAGACTAAGTCAAGGCCGCTCTTCTGCTTTCGTCATCCATTTCTGTGTGTGGAAATGTGTGTTAAGTACCAAAGCGTCTGTGGCCTTGCACCGTGAAACAGTGGCCCTCCCCTCCAGCCAGTCTTTTGAGCTGTATTTACTTTCCCCTTAGAACCTTCTGGTCCTCTCTCACCCTTGGACATGAAATTGGACGTGCAGGGTCATCATAAATGAGACCATGATTAAAAATAAATTCTGTATATTAAAATAATATATAATGATAAATAATGTATAAAACATAATATAAATGATATTACAATGTTGCTTTACAGATAGCCCAAATGATAAACTTGTGATTGTGAAATTTGTTCAAGACACTTCCAAGTTCTGGTATAAGGCGGATATCTCAAGAGAACAAGGTAGGTGGGGACGAGGGGTTCCTGGACAGCTCTTGGGTGTCAGATTCTTGTGTACAGGGTCCCTGCAGTGTACATGGTACAGATAGAGTCAGAGAAAAGCACACTTTTACCAAATGCCTCTGGGGCAAATAAATGCCATGACCTTTAAGTTTTTGTGGGGAAAATTAGTACTAGTGAGGGTTTGGGTTAGAAGTCCACCCTATGTCTCCCAGTCTGTGCAGGACAGGAAACTTGCTGCTTCCCCCAGTCAGCAGCTTACCAACCATACCAGTCCACCACTCCTGCTTGGGTCTCTACTGAGCAATGAGGTCCTGAGCGCCACAACATCCCTGAAAGAGGGCCAAAGAGGAGAGAGATGCAACCCTCTTTCAACCACCTCATTCCGTGAAGTTCAGAACCCTATGTACTCATGAGCTTTTGTGCCAAACCAAGTTGGGGAGATAAGCATTTAATGTGTATGGCATGTGCTGTGGACTTAGGCCAGTTCTTCACCTGCAGACTGGAAGAAGTGTCCATCTGCTGCCCTCAGTGTCCAGGCACACTTAATCTCAGCACTCAAAGAGGCAGGAACCAGCAGATCTCTGAGTTCAAGGCCAATCTGGTCTATATAGCAACTTCCGCGCCAGACAGGGCTATGTAGTGGGACCCCGTCTCAAACAAACCCAAAACAAACCCAAACAAAACAAAAAAAAGGAAAGAAAAACAACTTGAACTCATTGCTATTATTTTAAATATTTTATTTATTATTTTTATTTTATGTGTATGAGTGTTATACCTGCATGTAGATAAGTGCACCTGTGTCGCCCACTGCCCACGGAGGACAGAAGAGGCTGTCAGATCCCCTGGAACTGGAGTTAAGGACAGTTGTTAGCTGCCATGTAGGTGCTGGGATTCAAACCCGGGTCTTCTGCAAGAACAGTCAGTGTTCTTAACCGCTGAGCCATCTCTCCAGCCCCTATTGCTATTTTAAAAAGCATTTTCCCCTTTGCTTGTTTTGTTGGTTTACACATAATTGCATGTGTGTATGGGGCACAGTGTAGAAGTTCAGCACACGTTAACACGTCATGGTTAAATCAGAGTAATTAGCTTTTACCTCTCACTAGATATTATGAAATGATTGATTTTTTTTTTTTTTTTTTTTTTTGATTGGTAAGATCCTTTTAAATTACCAGTAAACTGTTCCCAGCCACTGAGCATCTGTTCCTGTGACAGGTGAACTTGCCTTTATTTAGCAGAATTCACAAGTCCTGTCATGCACTGCTGTCTGCCCACAGAAAGCCATCTGAGTTCCTCTGGAAGTCAGACCTTTGGCAGCGGGTAGAACCCTGATCACTTTCTCCCCATGAACTCAAAGAAGCCATTGTCATTTTACATGGAAGGGGGGATGGGAAGCCCATGGCCTGGAAACACTTTCATTTCTCTCAGTAGGCCTTTGTGCAAAGCTGCTTAACAACTCCCAGGGCTCTACACAATCAGTCAGGACTTTTGCTTCCCTGGCCACCAACCTGGCTCCACTCTTGTGGTCCTCAGTACCTCATGGAGTTCATATCCAGAGTCATATTCTAGAGTGTTCTGTGCATACCTTTCTTTGTCACCATTCTAAACCCTAGAGGTGTGCTGCATCAGACAGGGCTGTGCTGCTGTGATAAAGGGCTTCCAAGGCAGAATGAGGAAAGTGCTACCTCGTTTCTTAACTTGGTAGAGATGATACCTGAGTGGGATGCTGAGTGGGAAGCATCTTTTGCTGCAGGTGCTGAGTGGATGCAGAACAAGTGATAGAAACTATTGTGGTCAGTATTAGTCAACTTTCTATCACTATATTGAAATACCAGAGGCCAATCAACTTATAAAGAAAACTGGTTGTTTTGGTTTATAGTTCTAACAATTCCAGTCAGCATCAGGTTGTCCCAATACTTTTAGGTCTCTGGCAAGGGTGGGTATGCATGGCTAAGTAGAGCTGAGCCCAGCATGATGGCAAATGCCCATAATCCTGGCACTTGACACCCATATACAGGATGATCATGAGTTGTTTGTGGCCAGCCTTGTCAATACAATGATATCTCTATCTCTCTTTCTCTGACTATCATCTCTGTCTGTCTGTCTGTCTGTCTGCCATCTATCAATCATCTAACTGTGTGGTATCATCCCTTGCCTGGCCTTGGCTCATATTTAGGCTTGTTTGTGGACCTCACCTCAATGGCTGATATGTGCTTTCAGTACTGGGTTCTAAAGTATAACTACGTCCATTTCCAGATACTTTATGTGGAAAATGCTGCCACAGGTTTACTGGGTATCTCAACCTCTTCTAAAGGAAGAGGTCTGTCCATAGGCTTCTTTTGTTTCTGTTTTAACCATTGAATATACCCTTTTCCTAAAAGTGCTACTGTGACATTTCAGGGAGATGCAGAAGAAAATGCCCCAACAAGCCACTTCCTTGGAGTATAATCTGTCCCCTATTACTGCTGCAGGGTTAATTCCATAGGATTTCCAGGGTGAACAGAAGATTACTTCAGGGGGCAAAGTGCATAAAATCACACAGAAATGAAATGGCATTGTTTAATTATGCTGCCTCAGCCTGTTAATGCTTTTAGTAAGAGTGGAAGTGCTTGTTGTGGGAACAGGGTCCTGTACAACCTTGCCCCATGTTCAGAAGACCAAGAGCAGGGCAGAGTACATACTGCTGCATTGGACATGTGCATTGCTTATTCATCCACTGGGCCTCTGTCCTGCTCAGCTTTTCACGAGTGTGACAAAATGCCAGCGATAATCAGCTTAAAAGTTAATAAAGGTTTATTTTCACAGTTTCTGAGGTGTCATTCTAGAGTCAGTTGGCCCTGTAGCTTTCATCCTGTGAAGACACAGTATACCATGGCAGGGGTATTTGGTGATGAACCTGCTCACCTCCCAGTAGATGGGGAACAAAGAGAACAAGTTGGAAGAGGATGGAATTTCAATATCATCTTAAGGACCACAGACTTCTGACTAAGCCTTTAACACATGGGCCCCTGAGGGACACTTAATCCAGACCACAGCAACCTCTTAGCTCACTTCTGTTTCAAATAAAGGTTCTAAAATTAAGCTTTAGCTGCCCTTCGTTGATATGTAATGAAACAGTCCCAGCAACCCATGTGACCGTGGCACCTCAAAATTCAGTAGGAAGGTTGAGTCCCACAAGACTACAGTATGCGCTTGGCCATGATAAAGTAAAATCATGACTGTAGTAGCATAAGCAAGCTCTGATGAGACACAGTGTGAAGTAGAGAAAAGTTTCTAGAAAGGATTATTTGGCCTATTTTGTTTTGTTTTTTTGAGACAGGGTCTCTGTGTAGCCCCAGCTGGCCTGAAACTTGCTTTGTAGACCAGGCTAGCCTTGATCTCACAGAGATCTGCTTGCCGCTGCCTCCCGAGTACTAGGATTAAAGACATGTACCACCTCACGTGGTTATTCTCCCTACTTTGAAAAACATAATACATGTTCTACCCCTAAATTGACAGTTTGCCACAAAGAGAAAGGGCCCTTTGCTTTTTCCTGACTAATCTCTAGAGCATTTCCTTTCAGGACCCATGCCCCACCTTCACTGCCTTTACAGAGGGGCTGCAGGCCTGTCTGGCTCTGTTAGCACCAAGGCAACTGTGTGCTGCTGGTGCCCCAGCTCTGATTTGTCTTTTCCCTGTTTGGTAGCTTGGATGAAATAATAGGTGTTTGCTTAGTCCATGTTCACCCACCTACTGGTCCAGGTTGCAGAAGCAGCTTGGACTCAACCTCTCTTCTGATGCTATAACAGAACATCTGAGATTGGATAATTTATAAAGAATGGAGGTTTACGTTGAATCACAGTTCTGGGCATGTGCAGAAGGAGGACATGAATTGTGACCTTGCTTTATAACAGCCCACCTTCAAAGCAACTAAGCTGTTCCTGTGATAATCACCCAATCCCAAGAGAGTAATATTCTCCTGTTGTTGGGTTGGGCATTGGGGCTTAAACTTCAGTGCGAATTTCAGAGGCAGAGCCAGACACAAGCTACAGCAAGGAGCCCTGCCAGGGTGGAGATTGGCAGTGACCCTTGTCCACCCTGGAGTCATTCACATGCTCTTCTCCTTCCTCTAGCCATTGCCATGTTGAAGGACAAAGAGCCAGGGTCATTCATCGTGAGGGACAGTCACTCCTTCCGAGGCGCCTATGGCTTGGCCATGAAGGTTGCTACACCTCCTCCTTCTGTCTTACAGCTGAACAAGAAAGGTAAGGTCCCCTGGAATTGATGAAGCGTCTGTTGCCTGCTCTGATGTGCATAAGGTGGCAGGTGACCACAGCTGCACTCTCGGGTCCTCTTTTTACTATTTACTTTTAAAGGTATATTTTCTTAAATACCATCTTGTTGAAGAAAGTGCATTATTGGGCTTGACATCGGATACAGATAGCAAAGCCTCAGGCTCACAACCAGAGAGAAAGTCCATTATTTATAAATTTTATTTAGTTTTGTTTTGAGTGAGTCGTCTTTTCTGCTGCTCGAAAATCACAATGATAAAATAGAACAAAAACTCACCAGGGCACCTTGCTTCCATTCTAGCACAGTCCACCTCATTTCGCCCTTCCTCATTAGGGTAACCACGTATGAGGCCCTCCTGTGTGACTTTTCACTGATTATCCAGGTATAGGCAAAGGTGCATTTGCCTTTTTTCTTGTATTAGAAGTAGTGCATGGCATGATTTACTCTTCCATAGTTTCCCATTCCGGTATCTTTAGACTGATCAGAAGTGAGGCTAGCATAAGCCTAGAGGCATTGCTAGTGCGCCCTTCTCACAGTGAAGAACTGTGCCTTCCTCCTCCCTGTTCTGATACCATCTACAAGGCAACAAAGAGGAGTCACAGTGGATAGAAGGATGTGCCAATATTCCACCTTTTCTTTCACTTAATTGCATTTTTGTCTTGAAATATAAGAACATCCCGAAAGATTGGTAAAAGCATTACAAGAATGAATCACAAGCACTGAAACATGTAAGCAGTGTGTTCTGCTAAGCACCATGCTCACATAATCATGCATGTTACCACATTCCAGGAGATGGACCCCTCCCCCCACCAAGTTCCTGTTATGTTAGAGTAGGTCATACCATTATTTGAAGAAGTCTAGTCTTCCCAGGTATGGATGGCTCTGTGAAGCCCTTCAGGCTTCCCTTTTGAGAGTGTCCCCAGTAGTCTATGAGCAGTCCCAGCTTCTGAAGCAAGCACCCCGTTTGTGGTTTGCTTTGCACTTGCTCTGCCCCAGCCAGTTCTCCCCAAGACCCTGGTGCTAGGAATTGGGCAGAAGTGTCCAGAGACCAAGCACTGTGGTGACTCTTTGCCACTGGAATTTCATTGCTCCTCTCCAGGGAGCAGAACTAGGAAATGTGGCATTTCTAACTCGTGTTGATTTATGTGTAGCCTCACAAAACTGTTTGCCAGCCCCTGTCTTTGCATGATGCTTGTCCACTGCTCCCAACATTGGCAGAATGTTCCCTCTCCTGCTTTGGCCCCTAGGATTCACAGTAGAAGACAGAAAACTACTGGGTAAAATGTAGTTTGTTTATATTAATTACCAAAATAGGAATCTCTAAAATTAATTGTTTTTTCTAGTTTTAATGTGAAAACTCATATAGTACATATTCTTTTGTGCCTTGTTTTGGATCACAATTATAAGAGTCATTGTATCTTAAGATTGTTTATAGGAATTATTCTCTTTCCTCACTGTCTTTTATAACTGTATTGTGATATTTTTCATGTTGGTAGACATTTTCATTTTTCTGTCATCCCTCATCCATCCCTTTGCCCCTAAATACAATCATCTTTTGTTACCACCATGCCAACTCCAGAAAAGAAGAAAACTCTTTTATCACTACAGTAGTCATTTTGGATTGGGAGAAAGAACATTTTTTAGGTCCTTAAGAGGGTGTGATAACCAGCTTTCCCTATAACAAAGTACCGTGTATAATCAACTTATCATAAGAGAAAGTTCATTCTGGCTCACAGTTCTGGAAGTTTCTGTCCAAGTTTGGTTGGCCTCTTTTGGTGTTGGGCCTATGGTAAGTCAACATACCATGAACAGGAGTGATGAGGGAGCTGAGAGCTCACCTCCTGTCTGGAAAGTGGGGAGGAGAGGAGGAGGAGGAGGAGGAAGGAGGAAAGGAGGAAGGAGGAGAGGAGGAAGGAGGAGGAGGAAGAAATCATAAATCATGGAACGATATATCATCTAGAATTCCAGCATAAGAAACTCAACAAGAGGCTGGAGAAATGACTCCGCAATTAAGAATACTTACTGCTCTTGCAGAGGTCCTGGGTTCTGTTCCCAGAACCCACATGGCAGCTCACAGCCTGCAGCTCCAGCCCTAGGCAACACAACACCATTTGCTGGCCCCTACAGGCATTTCACAGACATGGTGCACATAAATATATACAGGCAAAACACTCATACTCATAAAATAGAAATAATCTTTAAAAAGAAATTCAACAAAATGCTACTGCTGGGTGGGATTAAGGCCTTTGTCGCTGAGATGCTGAACCAGACCTGGTTGCCGAGGACTGCCAGGCCTTATTTGGGAACACTGGGTATTGTTCACAACAGGAAGTCTCAGGAGAGAATGCCTGCAAGTCCACCAAGGTGATGGTTAACACATCCGCTCAGACACAGTGCATGGCCACATGGGCTTCTGGCCGGCTTCTTGGTTTCTTTTGACTGCCTTAAAGCAGGGACCAGAAACAGTTTTTGCAAGCATTATCTATTTTTAGAAATACAAAACTAAAGTGATAGCATATAACTTCTATAAGGCCCAGGCACGTATCCTGCTAAGTCCGAAGATATAGGTAACAAAATAAGGACCTGAGAAAAGTGGACATCAGGAAACTAGGGGTAGCAACATCCACTGAGTGAAATGCAGTCTCACTGGTGTGTTTACACCCAGGCTTGGATTTGACATTTGGGTTTCACAGTCCAAGGATAAATTAGAGAGAAGAGTTTACCAAACCAGTGAAGAGCCAGTGAGTCACTGTACCACCTCTGGCCATCATGAGACTAGACAGCTGCAGCCGTTCCACATGGCTAGCCAAGCGCCTAGGCAGCGCAATCTGCTTGGGGCCATTACCCACAAGTGGCATCCAGACCCTCAGTGGGTGTTCCCATTAGAATGAAGTCCTACATTGCCTTCCCCCTACAACAGAGGGCCATATGCTCCTTCCCCTGTCTGATTGGACACAGACTTTTATAGAATCAGATCATTTTCTTCTCTGCAAACTTTACTTCCCTGGGAAAATGCTGACACTTGCCATTACTAATATTTGTTGCTGTCTATAAACATTCTTCAGAGCCTAGCTTCGGTAGAGTATCCCTGATCCTAAATGGCTGAGAACAGAGTTGGGATTTCTGATTGTTTTCAGATTTTGGAGTATTAGGACATGTTTAAGTAAGGGGATAATCTTGGGCATGAGACCTGAGTCTTAACATGAAATTCATTTATATTTCATCTGTTTCATACACGCAGCCTAAACACAATATAATGCAATACTTTCCATTATGGGTATGTAATCATGTATGTAATCTTTCATTTATGGACTCATACTGGTGCTCCAAGCTTTCAGCTTTTAAAGTTTGGAATCAGGGATGTTCACTTATACAGGAGTCTAGCAGCCCCACGAAGCCTGGATCAGCAGTATTAAAAGCCCAGCAGGCACACTCCTGTGGAGGGTAGTGAAGGTGGCAGTGAGGGGCGAGCGTGTGGGGTTGGCCGGTGTCAGCAGTGCTGAGTGCTGCTTTGCTTTTCTTTTGCTTCTGGTTCAGTTTGTACTTTTCCATCATCAGACCATTTTGCCATTCAGTAGCTTCTCTTGATGCCTTTTCACTTTGGATTCAGCACCTGGTTGAACACAAGTTACTGTTTACTAGCAGTATGGTAGGGTGGTACTCCGATGTAGACGAGTCCTCTCTGCTGGAAAAGTTTCTGTTCCCAGCTTGTGGCTCCACCTCACCCAGAGGGCGGACCTCCATCCAGCTCTTAGAGCTGAAGTCTTTCTTGCCTGAGTCTTTGTGGCCAAAGTGCAGTATGTGCTGCATGGCCAGCGTCAATCTGAGCCGCCAGTTCATTCCCTTCTCTGATAATTCTTACGGTGTTTGAGAATCTCTTCTAAGGACATAATTTCACTACAAGAGTTATTACCATCCACCTGGCTTACAGCTCTGCCTGCCTGCCGTTACATGGGTGGTTCTGGGTAATCCCATAATACAATGGTTTGATCCTATTCCGAGGGAGGCTTTGTAGGGAAAGCTCCTTGCTTTTATGTTGTCATGTAGTATCCATCCATTCCATCCATCCGTCTGTCCATCCATCCATCCATCCATCCATCCATCCATCCACTTTTTCTCCTCTTCATCTCTTCCCCTGCCCTATCCTCCAGTCTTATTCTCCTATGCTTTAATTATTTTCATTGTCATTTACAGAAACTTTTGTTTAAACAACTTTTCTCATTCAGTAAGTAAAATTACAGTTGACTTCTTTGCCCCATAAATGAGTGGATTCATGAGGTCCAATCCACCATCGTCCAGGAAATTTTAAACAGTTCTTTTATTCTTCTTCTTATCACAGCTGGAGATTTGTCCAATGAACTTGTCCGTCATTTTTTGATCGAGTGTACCCCTAAGGGAGTGCGGTTGAAAGGGTGCTCGAATGAACCATATTTCGGTGAGTTACTTGGGAGGGTGTTCTTAACACACACCAGGGCCTGGATTCCTTCTGCCAGGTGAAGTGAGATTTGAGGACTTCTCTGTCATGATGGGTCACTTACAGTTCAGCCTCCAGGTCTAAGATTCCTCTCATCTGAAGTCTTGTCTTAAGACAACCAGATATGTAATTGTTCTGAAAAAAAAAAACTTTGTCAAAACCAAATAAGCAAACAGCACCATTGAAGGACTAGAAATAACAGATATCAACTAGTGTCATGAAGGTTAGTAGATAGGGGGGTTCCTGACAGGATTAGAGCCTATTGTGACCCTATCTGTTAGGCATGAGGAGAAACACAGACCTACTACCTCCAGAGCATCTTTTCTTCTCTGTAAATTGAGATCCTCTCACAGTCTGCTAGATAGACCACACACAGCACAGGGAGATAGAAGACAACTTCATAGCTTGGTTATTTCAGAAGCACTAGATGAGTGACATAAGCAGGAATTGCCTTGGTGTTAGAACTGTTAGTTCCAGACCCAGCAAACGGTTATGATTTGTTTTTCATACTTACAAAGGATATATGCCAGGAATCTACTGCAAGTCCCTTCACTGTCTTGCTAACCTTGTTGTTTCTATAAGTTTTATATCACATCCTAAAGTGATGGAACATGTCATTGTCGAAGGCATAAGCTGGGCCTTTGGTGATTTGATTTCAGCTGATTTGCTGGCTGAGCATACAGCAGGTAGAGAAGATGATGCTTGTTTGTTCTTATCTACTTCACAGGGAGCCTGACGGCTCTGGTGTGTCAGCATTCCATCACTCCTTTGGCCTTGCCGTGTAAGCTGCTCATTCCAGAGAGAGGTATGGGGTGGGGCTTCAGTGCTAGATGGGCTCTGTGTAGGATCTTCTGCAGCACTCACAGTATGCTGCCTTCAGGGACCTGCAGAAATCTTTCTTGCAGTTCCCAGACATTGTGCACTGTGGCTTGGGTGGAAGGTTTCCAGAAGGCAAAGACTCCCTGGCTTCAACCACTCAGACTTTCAAAGCCATTTACATTTAGAGATTTATTATTCTACAAAATGGAGAAGATATTTCTATGGTTGAATTTAGGTTGTGGATGAACTATTCTCTTTACTTTTGTGTTTGTTTGGAAATATTCATAATCATAAAAAAAAAATCCTTGTTGGGCATGGTGGCATATGCCTTTAATTCCAGCACTCAGGAGGTAGAAGCAGGTGGATCTCTGTGAGATGGAGGCCAGCTTGGTTTATATAGCAAGTTCCAGGCCAACTGGGGCTACAGGGAGACCCTGCCTCAAAAAGATAAAAAATTTAACAACAATAATAACATTTAGAGTCTATCAGGGATGATTTGACTACATGGCCCAGCTTTCCTTAAGATTTATCTAAAAATGTAGGTAAATGGAATTTGTTTTTTAAATTTAGATTGTTCAGGTAAATGAGTTCAGAGATCAGGAAAGTATTTTGGTGGACCATGTACCCCATCTGTGTTGAAAACGGGATTGTAATTTCTGTGGGCAGGATTATTCCCAGTAGCCCTGCTGTCACTGTCTGGGAACTCTATCAGCAAATCGTCCGACCTCATCATGTGTGCACATGTGTGTCAGGAGCAGCGCTCATTTCTGTTTTCTTGCTCCTTCCTACAGATCCACTGGAGGAAATAACAGAAAATTCTCCCCAGACAGCAGCCAATTCAGCAGCGGAGCTGTTGAAGCAGGGGGCAGGTCAGTGGTCACAGCCTTGTTTTCCACATCTCTGCATCTCCTGGTCATTGGGCAGAACCAAACCCTGTGATAGAACTTCCCCTCGCACAGTCATTATTCAGGTTTCCTGCTTTTCTGTGGGCTGTGAAGGAAATTTCCTTTTATAGATGCTTGACAGAGCTGGGTGGGGTGCAGCTGTGGGGAGACAGGGCTAGGGCATCAGGCTGGAAATATTGGTCTGACTTGAAGAAGACCAACTTCAGTGGAATAAATGTCAAGTCTTGTATTCAGTGTGTGGGAAATGCAGTAAGGCAGGATGTGGGTGACCTGCCTCGCCAGCTGAAAATGTAAAAATGTTCTGGAGCTGTGACTCAACAGTCACTCGATGTGAGTCAACTGTTGGATCCACTCTGCCATCTGCTTGGTCAGAGACACCACCCAGCATCAGCTCCCTGGGGACCAGGCCAGTTGCTGAAACATCTTTATTAATAGATTTTACTTCCGAGATCAGTTATAGGATTGCAGCAAATTTGAGAGGAAGGAATAAAGATTGTTCTCCATTTGCCGCCTCCCACACCACAGTGGTGCATGTGCTACAGCTGGTGAGCCAACAGCCATACATTATTAACTGAAGTACGTAGTTGCGATGTTTCATACACAAAGTATGTAGCCTTTTCAGATTGACTTCTTTCACTTGGTGATCTGCATTCAGGTTTCTTCCATGCATTTTCATGGATTGGTGGCTTTTTTCTTTGTGTTTGTGGGGGCGTATATATGTTTTGTATGGATGTGTGCACACGTACATGTGAGTGCATGAGCATGTGTGTGCACATGTGTTTTGAGAGAGTAATGTTGGATATCTTCCTTATTTTTTAAAACAGAGTATTTCACTGACCCTGAAGCTCATGGCCTGGCTGGCCCATGAGCTCCAGGATCTACTTGTTTCTGGCTCCTCAGAACTGAAATTACACATGCATACACCGTCGCTCCCAGCTTTTATGTGGGTGCTGGGGATCTGAACTCAGATCCTCATGCTTGCTGTTGCAGGTCAAGTATCTTACCAGCTAAGGCATTTCCCCAGCCCCTCAGTGGCACATTTTCTATGTAGCATGGAGTAGTTTCCCATTATCTGGATGAACTACAGGTTATTTAACCACTCACTTTCAGAAAAAACATCTGGTTCCTTCTGAGTTTTGCAGTTATGAATAAAACTTCTATAAACACCCGTATATATTTCTAATTCATTTGATAAAATACCAAGGAGCCTGATTGCTAGATCATATGGAAAGAGTGTGTTTAGCTTTGGAAGAAGCCACAGACCGTCTTCTACTGTAGCTGTACCATTTTGTGTTCCCACCAGCAATGAAGAAGAATCTCCTTGTTCCACGTCTTCACTAGCACATGCTGATGTCACTCTGAAGGATATGGTCATTCTAGTAGAAGGGAAGCGGTAGCTCATTGTTTTTACCATCATTTCCCTGGTCACTTATGATGTGAGGCATCTGTTCACATGTTCGTTTGCAACCTTGTGTATCTTCTATAATTGTTAAATTTTAAGATTGTGTATTTTGTGTTGATGATCTTTTATCATATTTGTGTTCTGCAGGCTTTTTTTGTCTCCTCCCTGTTTGTGGGCTATCACCATCTTCTGGTCTCTATAAGCATTGTATAACATTGGTGCACTTAAATACATGCAAGCAAAACACTCATACACATAAAATAAAAATAAGTCAGGGCTGGAGAGATGGCTCAGCAGTTAAGAACATTGGTTGTTCTTGTAGAAGACCCAGGTTTGAATCCCAGCACCCACATGGCAGCTAACAACCGTCCATAACTCTAGTCCCTGGGGATCCAACAGCCTCTTCTGACCTCCATGGGCATTGCACGACACAGGTGCACTTACCTACATGCAGGCGATACACGCATACACATAAAATAAAAATAATAAATAAAAAATAAAAAAATAAGTCAAAAGATATTTTAAAAATTCATGAATGAATGAATGGGCCATTCACAGTAATGCAGTGTTATTGTCTTTGCTTTTAGAAATTAAGGATTTCTCTTCTGTTCCAGCTCATCATTTTTAATATATTTTTTATTTATTCTCTGAGACTTATATACAATCTTATAATGTATGTCAGTTTGCAATCATTTACCCCCTTCTTATGTCCCAAATCCCTTCCCATGCCTCCCCGCTTTTGATACTTACTGAATCTGCTTAGTACTGCCCATATACCCACAGGTGTGGTAACATCCACTGGAGCATGGTCAGCCTATCAGGACCAGACTTTTGAAGAAAACTGACTCTCTGTCCCCTAGCAGCTATCATATGTCAGCAGCTCCTTGTCTAGAGGTGGGGCCTCCTGCTCCCTTCTCCCATCCATGCTGGAATGATAACTGCCTTGAGCTTGTGCAGGCAACCACAGCTGCTGTGAGTGCATGACCACTCTGGTCCTGTCATGTCTATTTCACAGAGTCCTCTGGCTCTTACAGTCTGCCTAGCCCTTCTTCTGGGATGTTCCCTGAGCCTTGTAGGGAGGGGTGTGTGATATATGGGCCCCATTTATGGCTATCATCACTTTTCCATCTTTTTAAGTAACATTAAACAGTTTTCAATATTTTATTTTATCATTTTTTATTTTATGTGTATGAGTGTATTGCCTGCATATATATAAGTGCACCCATGTCATGCAATGCCAGTGAAGGTCGGAAGGAGGTGTCAGATCCCCTGAAACTGGGGTTAGGACTGTTGTTAGCTTCCATGTGGGTGCTAGGGCTGGGAACTGAACCCAGGTCCTCTGCAAGAGCAGTCAGTGCTCTTAACCACTGAGCCATCTTTCTAGCCCCAGCATTAAATATTTTAAAGTGTGCATTTTCTTTTTTTAAAATATTTTATTATTTTTATGTGTATGAGTGTATTGCCTGCATGTATGTGAGTGCACCCATGTCGTGCAATGCCAGAGAGGTCAGAAGAGGGCATCGGATTACCCTGGAACTGGAGTTAAGGACGGTTGGTAGCTGCCTTGTGAGTGCTGGGAATCGAACCTGGGTCCTCTGCAAGTCAACTGCTGAGCCATCTCTCCAGCCCCGAGGGTGCATTTTCTTAATGACAGACCTCATTTAGAACCTTGTAGTCTGTCTAATCATCCGAGTTAAGCATTTAGATATGAGGCTTATATTATGATGACATTGAGATTCTTTCCTTTAATCAGTCCTTTTTTTTCCCCCTGTAACACATCAGGAATGTGAGTTTTCATTCAACAGCACACTACCAAGGCAAGGATTCAGGCCAGCAGACCTGGGGTCAGGGAGCTCACCTCAGTGGTGCTATCATTGCCTGGGGATTAGCTATGGTTATTTCAAATAAGTGCAACACAGACATTGCACCAAGATGGTGGAACTGTTCTGATCTCTGATCACTGAAATTTGTTTTACAAATTCCGTTTGTCATCTTGGCCCTAGACTCCTGCTAAGGCCCTTGGACATCATGTCCTAAGTCCTTACTGTGGAAGCCAAGGCCCAGCAGTGAAACAGTGGCTCACCAAGATGTGAATAAACTAATTCTATTCAGTATAATCCCCTTGCACTTGATATTAATGCCATTATGACTTTGTTCCAATCTCTGAAACAATTCGTATTTGTATTTTGTTTCAATTCTTAATTGTTTCTACATGCGCTAGAGAAATGTGAGCTAATCCTGAAAAGAAAGGCTCTTTTACCAGACTTCTGATAGGTCTGTAGATATTGTGGCTGTGTTTAACTTAGCATTCTGTAAGTATAATTTCTTTAATGAAGGTCATTTAAGTTTTATAAAAAGGTGATGCTGAAAAGGAGGACATGAATGACTCCTTAGCCTGACACCCAGGCAGGTGCTTCACCCCGGGAAGAAGGGGTAGGGGTACAGGAAGTTCTCCAAACCAGAGACCATGCTGAGCATCAGCCAGCCAGATCGATTCCTGCCACTTCCCCTTGTTTGGGGCTGTGCTGCATGTGCAATTCTTTCCCATTCCTTTTTGCAGTTTCCATAATGAGTTTGCTCATGGTTTTTACAAATATAATGCAGGGCTCAGTTCTTCATGGTTATGTAATGGCCCATTGCGGAATTCTACTCTTGAGGGTTGTCCATTTAGCCTGCCTTGAATTTTTCAGTGCTACAGGCCATACTTGAAAGACCATCTTTCTACTTTATATGTTTTTCCTGAAATCTGGATGTTGTCCTAAAGTAAATCCCCAGAAGTGGTACTACTGGGTTAAAATATGTAGACCTGAAACATCATTTGGTGTTGAGAAATTGTTTTTCCAGCGTAGGTGATGGCTTGCAGAGCTCTCCACTGTGAGTCTGAGAGATGCTGTCCTGTTTAATGTCTCATGAAGCATCACAGCTCCAAGTCTTCTCTTTAGCAGAAGCACTTGTCTAGTGGAATCAGGTGGTCCTGGGCTAGGTTTGAAAGGGGAACTACCTCTACAGACATGATTTTCCCCAACACCAGGCTCCTACAGGGCACCCACCATTCTATTTGACCCTTACTTATTAAGATGTTCCCTTTGGTACCTTCTAGACAACACAGTCTGGCCTCGGATATTTTTTTGTGTGAATTCTATATAGGTATGCCAAGTCTATGGAATTTTCATAGACACACGCACGCACACACACACACACACACACACACACACACACACACACACACACAGAGCCTTTTGAAACTGCATGAACAACATGCCAGGGATCAGAGGTAGAACATTCACCCCCTTAAGTCTGTTTTCCATTTTCCAGGCTTCTTTCCAGCCCCTGCTCATAAGCACACATGCTTTTTATTTTATAGTTCTAATCATAGCAGAGACAGTTTATTCTGCTTTTCCAATTACCTGCTAACCATTTTTCCATGTTGCTATATAATTTTCCTGATTACCATTGGCTGGTTGCGTCATATTTCATCGAGGGATGAACTTAACCCTTCCTTTATGTTTGAACCTAATCTGTTCCCTTTTATTTTCCTGCTGTAATGTGAATAGGCTTGAATTTTTTCCTCTGTAGGTTAGTTATTTCACATGGTTATGGAAGATTTCCCTTTTGAGTCAACTAGGAAGTGGGACCTCTATGTTATTTCTAGATTCTTCAGATCCTCCTGATAAATGTGGTGAAAATTAGCCAAAATGGGCTGAGGTTACCCCAGGACTTCATAAGTGTTTTCCATTTCATGGACGTTTATGGGCATTAAGCATTAGGCAATTTTAATTTTAATTTTCTTTTATTTTGTTTTTGAGACAGTATCATACTGTGTAGCCCTGGCTGGCCTGGAATGCTCTATGTTGACCAACATGGCCTAAAACTCACAGAGATCCATCTGTCTCTGCCTCCGGAGTGCTAGGATTAAAAGTGTACACCACCACGCCCCAGAAATTTTAAAAGCTTTGGACGCTTGTTCTCTTTCCCCAGAGAACACAGGAAAACCCCTCAGTTTAGACAGGAACTGACATGCAGGTAACCCTCCAAGGCTTATAGGTCCCCTTGAGTGGCCTCATCTGGGACTGTGAGATGGACCTAAACACTGGAGTCAGTCATGAAGATTGTCCCCCACAGTCACAGTGACCTGCATGTATGAGATGGCTGACTGCCAATGTTTCTTACTCTGAGCCTTGATTTCCTTTACCTGCAAATTGGGGCTGATAATAATAAGTTGTTCCTCTGGCTCTTTCAAGTTCTGATGAGGCACTAGGTTAAGCTTAAAATAATGAAGAAAAATAGTATTGGGGTTTGAAGTTTCTTTTAAATTTTTTCTTAATGGAACAATGCCATTTAGATAAAGGAATAAGATAAGCTCTTTTTCATGAGAGTAAATATTAATAAACTATTCAGAACAAAAGTATCTCAGATGAAGCATCTCTTAATTATGAGTTTAGAAGACTGTGTTGTTGGGTTGTTTTTTAGTGTTGGGGATAGAGACCAGCACCAGGTGCATGCTGGGCAAGTGTTCAACCAAGGAGCTGTGCTTATAAGCTTAGTCCCACCAAAAGCAATGATGGTGACTTGTCTTGAGCCTTTGAGGTTGTTTGTTTCCAGGGTCCTCTGTAGTGTCTGCCACCTTCTTCAGGACAAAATAGGCCTTTCCGACTTGTCATTTTCTTCTGGGGCCAGTAAGGCCAGTGACTGGTTCTCCTTCAGAATGGAGAGAGGGGCTTTGCTTTTCTGATCAACTTGCCTTTGTAAATGCCCTAAACCCTCAGGGCGTGACTTAGATCCTGCATTGTTGCAAGAGGAGCAGCTCTCCAGCTCCTATGAGGCCTGTGCTGGATCTCCTCAGAGCATCCTCTGTGGTTATGGTCCTCCCTGGCCTCCTTGCCTGGGCTCATGTGTCAGCACTCCCGTTGAAGGGCACGATACCTGCTGGATCTAAGCAGGGAGGGCAGACCCACTCCAGGAGCCTCACTGAGAACAAATGGCACAGTGAGTGACTGAGCATCTCTTGTCCTCTGAATTCTTTATGGTTTGGATCAGGGGGACACATGATCTCTTAGTGAAAACTTTAGAGGCCTGTAAAGTAGAATTAGTGCATCCACAGAGATGTCACGTTCAGCAGAGTGGAGCCTGCAAGGGCAGTTCTGTTCTGTGTTAGTCTGTTTGCTGTTGCTATAACAGTGCCTTTAGATAGGATAATTTATTAAGGAAAAAGCTTTATCTTGGCTCACATTTCTGAAGTTTAAGCATGGTATTGTCATCTGTTTGGCTCTGGAGAGGGCTTTGTACTGCTTCAACTCAGGGCAGAAAAGAGAAAGCCAAGTGAGTGTGGGAACAAAATAGCATACCAAGGAGGACACCTCACTTTCGTGGCAGCCCACTCTGATCCTGTAAAAGACAGGAAGCCCTCCAGCCTCATCACCCTCTGAAGACCCCTATAGTGACAGTCATGTTTCAGCACGAGTTTCAGGAGGACAAACAGGATCTTTTCTAGGGAAGGGGCATTCTCCATCTTTCTGTGCTGGAGGCCCTGGTTTCCTGTGGTAGTGACATTCACGCAGAGCCTAAAGTTGTACAGCAAACCAATATCTACACTCTCAGATACATGTTGGCTACTGCTTATAATGCAGGGGTGGGGCTACAGGGTAAAATGGGTTTATTAATGCCACTTTCCCTTCCCTGAGAGATGACCAGAGAAGACACTCTTCTGGGATTGTGGGGAGCTGTGGCACAGGTGAGACTGTGTCTGTCTGTGCTGAGCTCTAGGCAGCGAGCCATCTCTCCACAACCCCTCTGGTGCCAGCAGTCCAGGTAAGACAGCTATTTGGGAGTGTAAAGCTCACAGTCCTCTCTTGGATGTTTCTCAGGACCTCAGAGTCTCCTTACCTATCACTAATTGAGAATTTGTATTACTGTGACTGTTGTCTTAACTCCCACTGAGGCCAGGGAAGGTCCCTGGATGAACTAAGCACTCTTCTGACCAGCCAGGCCACCCTTTAGTAACTTGTCCTTTCCTGGACTCAGCACCGGAGCAAGGCTGTCATTGATATTGGAGAGCAAAGGACATCTGCTTGCCAGTGCACCTGGCCTGGGTTGCACATCCGAGGTTGTTCCTGATCCCTCCACTTTCTCGTCAGCCTCTCCTGTGTGTCAGTGGAGAATGTATGTCCCCAACAGCCTTGGCTAACATCTCTGCCCCCACCCCTTACTGTCTTGCAGCCTGCAATGTTTGGTACTTGAACTCTGTGGAAATGGAATCCCTCACTGGTCACCAGGCAGTCCAGAAGGCCCTAAACATGACCCTGGTCCAAGAACCTCCCCCAGTGTCCACAGTGGTACACTTCAAGGTGTCAGCCCAGGGCATCACTCTGACTGACAATCAAAGAAAGTAAGTGTGGACAGCCAGGTGTGGTAGCACATGCCTTTAATCCCAGCACTCGAGAGGCAGAGACAGATGGATCTTTGTGAATTCAAGGCCAGCCTGATCTACATAGTGAGTTCCAGGGCAGCTGGGGCTACAGGGAGACCCTGTTTTAACACCCCCCCCCAAAAAAAGAAAGTAAGCGTGGAGAAGGAGGGGTGTGGGGGCCAGAAGTTCACAGCAGGTGTCTTTCTTGATCACATTCCAGCCTATTTTTGAGACAAGGTCTCTCTTCTCACTGTTTGGACAAGAATGATTGGCCATTGAGCTCCAGGGATCTGCCTGTTTCTGAGCCTTGCCCTCCACCTCCAATGCTGGGGTAACAGACCCCCACCACCATGCCTGGCTTTTAAATGGGCCCTCATACTTGCACAGCAAACACTAAGCACTGAGCAATCTCCCTAGTTTCAGAGCTTGTTTTAGGGATCAGTAATTTAAAAAAAAGATTGTTTGTTGCTTTGAATACCACATACAATCACTTTCAGATGCAAGTCATTTCTTCATAAACACTTAGATGGAACAGAATCTACTGGCTTCTGCTTTGGGTGACATTACTTTCTTAACTGGTAGACATCTTGTTTAGGTGAGAGCATGTCCTTCATACATTTTAATTCCTTTGGCCAAGTTCAGAGGACTTTGGTCTGGGTGTTCTCTGGGTTAAAATGATGGGAAGAGACATTGGTGGAGCCCTAGATGAGCAGGGACCAGGCTCACAGCTTGTCTTCCCACTGACCCTGAGTTACCTCATCCAGTTCTGCATGGGAGCCTTTGACCGCAGCATCTAGAGCACTACAGATACAAGGATCTAGTATTACTTAAGTAAACAGTCTTGTGTGATTGACAAGGAAGACAGGTCACACTTGGTGGTGCACACCTTTAATCCCAGCACTCAGGAAGCAGAGGCAAGCAGATCTCTGTGAGATCGAGGCCAGCCAGGTCTACATAGTGAGTTCCAAGCTTGCTGGGGTCACATAGTGAGATCCTGTTTCAAAGAAACCCAAAACAAAACAAAAAGAAAAACCAAAGCAAGGAAGGCGTATTGTCCACCACACACACACACACACACACACAGCATGGCATGAGGAGCCTCTGTGGTGAATGTAGATGTATTGTCCACCACACACACACACACACAGCATGGCATGAGGAGCCTCTGTGGTGAATGTAGGCACAGGGCACAACACAGACCACCTGCCTGAGCCCTCTGCACACTGTAGCCTTCCTGTAGGCCTCTAACCTTGCAGTGTTTTCTCCAGGGCCAGTTCTTGAAAAGAGACATTTTCTTCATCTTCTTAAATCACCAAAGATGTTGAAGACAGAGTCTTCCATTCATTGCTTTAGGATGAAGGCAGTTTGGACAAGTTTTACCCATAGCAGCCCTTCACTGCTAGGAGCAGGAGCACAGAGCCAGACTCTGGCTTTGCTGGTTAGGGCCTCTCCCCACACATAGCAGCAAGTGGCCTGGGAAGGCTTTGGTTTCTTCATCTTTCAAACCTCTGCCCAAATACCTCTCTGAATTTAGCAGCTCCAATCAAAAGAGCAATGGACACATACTATGTGAAGTATGGCTGACATGGGCTCACCCTCAAGAGTAGATTCTTTGCTCTCAGACCCATTGCTGTATTTTTCTGGACACCATCCTTTAAGAGGAGTGGGAGCTGGATGTGGTGGTGCATGCCTTTAATCTCAGCACTCATGAGGCTGAGGCAGGTGGAGTTCTGTGAGACTGAGTTCAGCCTCAAACTCCATAGTGAGTTCTTCATGATACCCTCTTCACGGACAGAGACCAGGGCTCAGAGGCACTTAGAGGTGTCTCCATGAAGACACAGACCTAAAGGTCCAGCCTAAAGGCATCAGTTTCTACCCCTCAAATCTTCACATTGGGGAAATGAGAAGCCCACCCAGCACATCATCCTAAAACCCCAGTAACAGATGCCTCCCTCTCTCCCTTCCTGCTCAACAGGCTCTTCTTCCGGAGACATTACCCTGTGAGCAGCGTGATTTTCTGTGCCTTGGACCCACAAGACAGGACGTAAGAAATTTGCATTTTTACAAATGAAAGATATACTTTCTTTATCCTTTAATTGAAAAAATTAATGTAACGTTTCAATTCTGTAGGTGGATCAAAGATGGCCCGTCCTCCAAGTAAGTTGTCTACATCTCTTTACGTTCTCTCTATGTAGTCACTGTGCAGAGTTGAAGTCAGTTCTAGATTTCCAAAGAAGTTTTTTTTTTCTCTCTCTCTCTTTAAAATAAAAAAGTAATCTATGTGGTCATTTACCATGTCTGTCTCTTAGAATCTTTCCACCTCCTCTTTCACAATGATCCCTAAGCCTTGAGGGGCAGAAGTTTGATATAGGCGTCCTATTCAGGGGTAAGCACTCTGCAGCCTCTTGTTCTCTGCACAGTGGCCAGTTGTGGGTTTCTGTGTTAATCACCATATGCTGCATAAGGAAACTTATCTGGTGAGAGTTGAAAGATGCATTAATCTATCAGTAGAACAATAAATCATTAGAAGTCAGTTTAATACAATATTTAGTAGAAAACTAATATTAGGTTCTCTCTTATATCTGTGACCTATCTAGCTGCAGGTACCTAAGCCTGATATTAATGTCACATATGGGCTCCATCCTGTAAAGCGGACCTTGAATCCAATTAAAGAATGTTTGGTTACTCCATAATATTTGTACCACTATTGCACTGCTGGGCATACCTTGCCAGGCCAGTTGTTGGTGTGGGTCGCAGGATTCACAGCTGGATAAGGTTGAGGATCACTTTTTTTCTGCTGGTAGCATGCATAGAACATTCTAGCACTGAAAGATAACCAGTAGAGATGAGGCTTTGAAGGCAGCACCAGCTTGTTTTTTATAGCTCATATATGTAGTGTCTTCAGCAGTAGGGTCTTACTATCAAGTCCTCATGGATAACCAAGAGCAGAGGCAATGGTCAGTGGAATTTAAAGGTCTATGGGACTCCTGGTTAACAGTTTCAAAAGAGGGAGCCCATTCCTGGCATTGGGTTTTTATGATAGCTTATGATGTCTAGTAAAGGTAGTATCCCCCTATCATAAGGAAACTTCTTTTAATCTTTTTATAATATATATGTATATACTTTAAGAAGCTTTTATATTGATAGGTTTGGCCTTTCTAAAGGCCTTTGGTGTTTGTTATCCCTCCCCGTACTCCCTCCTCTGCCCTGCCCTCCCATTCCCCACCCCATTTAAACCTTCCTAGTCTATTCCCTTTCCTCTTCATATCAGTGCATTCTACCTCCCCTCTCAGGAAGTCTCCCCTCACCTTCCACGGCTATTTATTAGTTTCTTAACTTCTGGATTTTCAAATCGAAACATGCTTATTTAGAGTTTTCCAGTCAGATGGTCAGTTACTCATATGAATTCATAGCAATGGTGACAGCATGTGCAAGTCCTATGTAAGTTCAAACCAGACAGAATCTGAGCATAGATGTGGGGAAGTGGGCAAGAAACACCAACCCTAGATGAGAACTGCTGGCAACCAGACGCTGCTAGGAGAAGGAGAGTCAGTCTTTTTCAAGGGTATGACTCTTCGTAGGTTAACCAGGCTCTGGTAGATACACCATGCTGAAGGACTTTGGGGGTTCAAATTAGACTCTATAGGCACACACACACACACACACACACACACACACGTAAAACTAAAAGCAGAATAAAGGGCTGAGTGTTCTGATTTTGATTTCCCCAGGGCTCCTGAGGCCTGAGAGGCCTCCTTGACGTATTTCCCTTCTAGCCCCAATGGGTAGGGCAGTTCAGGGTCTGGGCAGGGCCGGGAGCCTCTGGCATCCTTCTTGCAGCCCTGAAGGTCCTTCCCCTCTCCTGGGAGACACTGATCCTGCATGCGCAGTGCAGCTCAGGACTCTTTTTGGACAGTACCTGTAGGATCCCTTCCCCTCAGGGGAGCTGCTGAGGAGCAAGCTGAGCCTCAGCTGTGATTCAGGACAGGACATCACCCCTCTTGACTGTAGAACCTTCTTTGCAGGATTCATTCTTACATACAGATCCCAAGGGCTGGAGGTCACCAGTGTGGACAGGCCCTTAGCCTATGCTTTACACATGGTAGCCTTCTATAAGTTCAGCTGACATTGCTCCCAGGCCACTACCGGTAGGAGAGAAAGTGAGAGCCTACGTGCATGCACAGTGCTCTGCAGGATGCTGGCTGCTCTGACCCAGACTTTCCTCTTGCAGAGTCTTTGGATTCGTAGCCCGGAAACAGGGCAGTGCCACGGACAATGTATGCCACCTGTTTGCAGAGCATGATCCTGAACAGCCTGCCAGTGCCATTGTCAACTTTGTGTCAAAGGTCATGATCGGCTCCCCTAAGAAGATCTAAGTCCCTCATAGCAAGACTCTCCAGATGCCTTGCAGGTCCCTCACGATGGCAATGGGGTGAGGCGGGGCCCCCATTTGCACCAAACTGATAATCCTGACATTCCAGGCTCAAGAGAGGAATATGGCAACGCTTCCCAAACAAGAGCAAACTGTCACCATAGACTGGCCTTTCTGTAACTTCTCATCTGACACATCTCTGTAGCCAGGCACGTTTTGAGTGGAAGGACAAGGTGGCCCAGAGGATGCCTACCCAGGGGTCCCATGGGTAAGGGATGTGTAAGGAGAGAGCCTAGAAGGCAAAGCGGCCTGAGTCCCTGGCTCACCAGCATCTGTGTGGATGAGGAGCACCAGCCTGGTTGACACCGCACTGTTGGCAGAAACACTCCGTCCAGCAGCTTCCTCATCTTGACTTTTGCACAGGAGACACTGATGAACCTGAGAAGGGGATGTATGGTTGTGAAGGTTTGTGTAGGTCAGGCCATTTGGAAGGTGGTAGGAACATAAGCTAGGAGACGGTGGGGACGGGTGTGAAGTTGAGGGCAGTGGAAGTCTCTGGTGTCAGGGAGGAACATGCAATGTCAGAGACCCCACTGCCGGTGGTGAGAACTTCATGTCCAGCTCACAGGTGGCTAGCCAGGCTGTAGAGAGCCCAGGAGGACCCTGCGAGGGAAAACGAGAAGACAGAAACAAAAAAACACCATTTCTATATAATTTATATTTTACTTATGCCAAATTATTTATAACCGCTTGCCATTGCCATACTGTACCCATGTCAAATGCTGCAGCCACTGAGCTGTGATGGCTAAGAGACTTGTCGCTTGTAGGATATACTGCAGGCACCTGGTTACTAAAGGAGAAGGTGGATGGTGGTTTCGGTTGCCACCATGCTGTCTTCCATCTGCAGTGCTGCCAAATGGTAGTTGTGCCTCAAGCAGCCTACCTTGCACGGCGCAGTGACATGTCTTCTGGATGTGGATGACTTCCTTCTTCTTGGGAATGTCCCGGAGGAATGGGAGACTAAGGTGCTGCAATCAGTCTCAGCCTCCTCTGCAGGGCTGGCTGGGTTCTTCTGTAGGTCAGCATGACCTAAAGCCCATCTGGCCTTTGTATGCTGTTACTGTGCTTCTGGTGACACCTGCAGCTTCCTGATGGGGCCCTAGGTGGGTGATGAGAGAGAGAGAGAGAGAGAGAGAGAGAGAGAGAGGGGGAATGAGGAAAAAGATAAAAATCCCAGTACTCAGGCTGTGTTTGATGCCTCTTTGCTAAGGCATCTTAGCCACTGAGTCGGGAGTTGTTGGTTCACGCTCAGTTGTTCAAGCTAGTGCTTCAGGCTTCCTGTCAGTGGTCAGAGACTTAGGAGAAGTCACTTGGCCTTCCCAGAGTGAAGGTGGAGCAGGAACAGGGCCACATGAAAACAAAGCTAGGGTCTCCTTTGCTTAGAACTCTGTGCCATGCAGAGGCTCTGATTATCTCCATCCAAGCCTGCAGTTCCTACTCTCCGTTTTTAAAAGCCCCATCCCAGCTGACACATTACAGCTGGCACAGGCTATGGTTGTCAAGCTGGGTTTGGAAATCTACTTGGTGGATTCTCTGTTTCAGAAGGGGCAGAAGATATAGCTACCAGTATAATTGGAACCAACTGAATCATGGTGTGTGTGTGTGTGTGTATGTGCGTGTATGTGCGTGTGTGTGTGTGTGTGTGTGTATGTGCGTGTGTGTGTCTGTGTGTATACACAGGTGGACCATTCCACTTTTTAGCTCCTATTGATGCACCAAATGCAAGTGCCTCATTTCTGTGCCAAATGTTCGCCTTGGTCTTCAAGGACCTCCTTCCCGGACACACACTGGTATAGCTCTTAGAGGGAATGTACCATCATTCCCACAGGCCCTGATGTCTTCCACAGAGGCGTCTAGCATTTCAGTTATTCACCTACAGGTAGAGTCCAGACAGGAGGAGCTAAAATTTTTGCTCCTCCACATCCTGTGATCATTTATATGCAGTCGTGACCCAAAGACCACAGGCCAGGTCCCTTCCCCTTCTGCTGGAGGGAGAGAGGGCCTGATTTGAAATGAGCAGGGCAGGGCTGTGGCACTGAGCACATAGCCTGCTGGTTAATTAGAGACGTCCAGGCCACCCATGAAGGTCATCGTGGAATGCATTCAAAAAGTTACGCAGATTTGCTTTTTAAACTGACTGCCGAGTATGACTTTTATTCCAGGTAAAAGTGGTAAAGGGTATAAAGGAATTTGCTCTGAGCAGTTGACTCCCTCTGAAGAGCTACAGTTGCATAACTTCCTAGGAGCTGGTAGAACAGGGTTCTTTCTTTCTCTGTATGTGACAAATGCATTCAACATAGCAAGCCGAGTCTGTACACCACAGACCATGCCCTTACTGTGTGCTCAGAAACCTGGAGAAGGAACATCATCCAAGTGTTTTGCCCCCAGGGCCTCAGGAACTCAGTGATGTCCACCACTTCTGGTAAATAGCTAGGGACCTATTAACCTGTTCATTAAACGGTCTTATATTCTCCAGTGTTGGGCTGCACCCATGTTAAAAGCCACACTGCATTTATTCTCAGTGTCAAAGACCTTGTAATGTCTCTTTATCTGCCTTACATGTTAGTGAATATTTTTACTATTACATATTGTAAAGAATATATATCCAGTATGTAAATGAATGTTCTATAAATCCTTTGTATAGTCATTTTCTCTGCTCTTAAAATATCATCACTATTCAGAGTATAATAAAAATTATGACCTTGGTAAGCCTCATGAAACAAGCTTTTAATCTTGTGTGTGTGTGTGTGTGTGAGAGAGAGAGAGAGAGAGAGAGAGAGAGAGAGAGAGAGAATGTGGGTTCACACATGCCTCGGTTGTTGGTCCGCGCTTCCCACCATGTTCTGAAACAAGGTCTCTTTTACGTGCCATTGTGTATGCCAGACTAGCTGTTCCATGAGTTTCCTGGGATTCTTTTCTCTCTAACTTCACACCTGGCCATAGGAGCACTGGGATCACACCAGCTTTACATGGGTTCTAGGGATTTGAACGTAAGTCTTCACACTTGCCTGATAAGTACTTTTCCCTCCTGAGCCATCTCCCCAGCCTGAAATAGGCATTTTGTGTCTCATGTTGTGTGTCTTGTCTGTGCGTGCATGTATTTGTGCAAGTGTGCATGTGTGTGTGCATGCGAGAGTGAGTGTGTGTGTGACTAATTCTGTCTGTGACTGCCTTAGTTTTGTTTTTTGTTTGTTTGTTTGTTTTTGCTTTTTTGCTATTTCTTTTTCTGGTTTGTGTTATGGAGAATTGTGTTCAGTTATCCATCCACATGTTTTGCCTTCAAGAATGTGTTTTAGATTGGTTGTCCAAAGGCCTTGGAAAAACTGTATTGATATTATTTTAAATTGCTGGGTATGGCGGTACATACCTGCAATTCTAGCACTTGGGAGACAGGCAAAAAGATGACTAAAAGTTCAAGGACAGCCTGGTTCATCTTCATAGTGTATTCCAGGACAGTTAGGACTGCACAGGGTCTTGTCTCAAAAGTTTGTCAGTTGTGGTGGGCACTCCTGTAAGCCCAGGATTCAGGTAGAAGAAGCAGGAGTGTGCTGTGATTTGGAGGAAGGCCAGGAGTATGTGATGAATTTCAGGACAGTTTGTGCTACAGAGTGGGACTCTCTCAAATAATATGTCTTTGAAAAATGAATAGCAGTGTGCAACGAGGCAAGGTTGCTTAGCAGGTCAAAGCCCTTGCTGCACTAGTCTAATGGCCCTAGTCCAATTCCTAGAGTCTGTAGTACAAAGAGAGCCAACTCCCGAAAGTTGTCATCTGACTTCCACAGGCACCTACTTGTACACACACACACATACTCACACACACACACACACACATACTTTTAAAAAAATTAATAGTAGTATATAAGTGATGATGACACTGGAATGCTTTTAAAATATTTTATTATTTTTTTTTATGTGTATGAGTGTATTGCCTGCATGTGTGTAAGTGCACCTGTGTCATGTAATGCCTGTGGACTGCCATGTGGGCGCTAGGAATTGAACCTGGGTTCTCTGCAAGAGCAGCCAGTGCTCTTAACCACTAAGCCGTCTCTGCAACCCAGACACTGGAATGCTTTTGATGTGCTGTAACTATCACCAAGTCCCAGGCTGGCTCCAGGAATCAATTCCCCAGCAGTGTCTGCTTGGTATCTGAACAATGAAAGCCTGGAGCAGCCAGGACAGCCAGCTCTGTGGAGCCTCAGGTTTCCTTCACCTCCCTTGGGCTGTGGGTCTGCTGGCTGTCTGCATCCTTGAGCTGTCACCTTCCTCCTGAATCCATTCAGGACTGAGGTCCATTCACTAGCCTGCTAACATCATCCTCTTAGCTCTAAACCTGGAAAGAAGCATTGCATTAGCCCAGACTGGTCACAGACACAGCTTCAACTAGCTCCACTTTATAGCCCACATTTCCCCTGCATTGTTGACTTTGGAGGTGTCTAGTGACATTCATGTCATACCATCTTCCCACATATATGGCAGTTAGAGTTTAAATTTAAACTCCCCAAATTTAGTAAAAGATACATGTATACATATATGTAGATATATACATATCTATAAGATATAAGAAACCAAGTAAATAGTACAAAATCCTTGACACCACATGCTAAGGAAAATAAGCCAAACATACAATGTTTGATTTTTAGACTTTAAGAAAGGGCAGGGGTGGGGCGGAGAGAGAGAGAGAGGAGAAAATGAGCCAAATAGGTATAGAAATAAATAAAATGACAGACTTGCCTTAACATATCAATAATTTCTTTACATGTAAGTGATCAAACTATGCCCATCAGAAGAGCACGATTGGCAGAGGGCAGGGCATGCAGGGCATGGCCACTTACATGCTGTTCACAAGAAACTGCAAATTCAATGCACAGAATGGCCGAACAGAAAAATGTAAAAGGATAAATCATATGACTATTAACAAAATCCAACATGGGCCATTATGCCCATGTCACATAGAATTTAGAGCCCAGAAAATTTACTAGTGAGTAACTTTTATTGCAAAAAAAGGCTTAGCCTAGGAAAAAACATAAGGATGCTGCATGCTGCTCATGAAACAACAGAGCTCCACCACAGAAAACACCCTGACAGAGCTGAAAGGAGAGATAGGAAAGGTCACGGTCATTCAAGCGTTCCTCACACCAGCTGACAGATGAGGCTATGGGTAAAAATTTTTACATTAGGAGGCTGGGAATTTGGAAAGTGACAAGGTCACTCATGAATGGGATCTGTGCTCTTAACAAACTCCGAGGTAGCATAAGCAGAGAATCCTAGAGACAGTGCCATTCTTCCTAGTACCTGTGGCTGCTGAAGGCCATTCCAGTGAGGTGTCAGACAGAACTGAGGAGCGTATTGGAAACCAGAGGAATGGGAATCCTTTTCATAAAGCAGCAAAGACTTTGGCTGAATTGTGTTCAAGTCATTCTTTGTGGAAGGTAGAACTTGTGAATGATGAAATTCGATGTTAAGTTGAGGAGATACCCGAACAGAGGTTAATGGTATGACTTCTCTTGACTGTTTATAGTAAAATGAGAGAGGAGAGAAATGACTCGAAGATGTAATTTATAGTCAGAAGGGAAGCACAGCTCAAATATACAGGAAGTTCTTAGTCTGGTTATAGCCTGAACAAAGGGGAATGCCAGCTGGGGAGTGAGTCCAAATGGTGTGGGCGGGAGACCACTTGACAAGGGGGATCCTCATCTGAAGCCAGTGCCCCTCAGAAGATAGGAATGACCTGGAAGACATTTGGTGTTGTGAGGCCTGTTAGTGCTGATCTCCTATCACAGGCCCAGATTGCCCAGTTTGGGGGACAAAAGGGTGCGGAAGGATGAGCCTTGGGTGTCTGTCTGGGGACCTCTGTTCTCATTGCTCAGCCTCAAGACTTTGCTCCTCATGTCCTGGCTAGGCATGTTCTGTGACTGCCTCGTGGGCCCAAGTGTGGTGTGACATTTGTTTCTCAAGATGGTACAGTAGAGGACCTTGGTGTCATCTGCCTGATACCATCACACGGGGACTCAAAGTATAGGCTCCCACCCACCTAGATTTTTAAAGGTCATTCCAGAGAGCCAAAGGGTTCATGCAGAGACCTGCTACAGGATGGGACCATCAAAGAGCTTCCATCTCTGCTCAGTTGAGATGTGAAGTGGGTCCAGTCATTCTAGGGAGGTAGAGCTGCTGGTACGGGGTCTGTTATGATTTTTCCTGGGGAGATGTGAATGTCTATTTAAACCTCAGACCCAAGAAACATTCTACCCGTCTTTAGCTTAGTGAACCAGTGAGTTTATTAGTGTTACAGGAGCATGGGTAAGCTTGCTCCATCACCTTGAAACCCACCCCAGCAGGGGGATGACCCACAAAAGCTGCATCCCTGGAGCTCCCTGTACAACTCGCAGGCACCATGCCCAGAGGGACAGCCTCCTGTCCTCAGTGGTTGTTACCCAATCTTGGGGAGAGGCCTTGTGAATCCTGTAACTTTCTGAGATTCCCGAACTTGGTAAATTGCCTGTTTCTTCCTTTCCTCCCTCAAGAACTTAATGTATCAGTTCTGAGGGGATGGCTACGCAGTGGGACTATAGCCTCTGAGCCTCGGATTCCAACCCATGATACTAGCCATGTGGTTCTACCCAACAAAGCTTGGGTGCCCCAGGCCCTCACTTCCTGACTCACGATACCCAAAAGGTGGAACATCGAATCAAGAAAGTTATTCTCAAGGCCTAAATGCAATGTTGTTTGCCTGGTGGGGTTTTGGGACTTACTTGGGATCTGCTAACCCCATTTCTTTCCCTTTTGGAATCAGTGTTTATCCTGTATCTGTCCCACTCTGGCATTTTGGATGAAAATCCCTTAGTGTCTCAAGCATTTCTGATTCAGATGAGACTCTGGACTTCAGACTTAAGCTGATGCTGGAGGGTTACAGTTCTGGGAGCTTGTGCTGGATAGCTTTAGTGTCAACTTGACACACCTGGGTTGAGGGAGCCTCAATTGGGGAATTTCCTCCATTGAACTGGCCTGTGGCCATGTCTGTGGGGCATTTTCTTGATTATTGAGTGATGTGGGAGGGTCCAGCCCACTGTAGGTAGTGCCACTCCTGGGCAGGTGGGTCTGTTTTATATAAGAAAGCAAGCTGAGCAGGGGCCAGGGGAGCAAGCCAGTAAGCTGTGTTCCTCCATGGCCTGTGCTCCAGCCTCCAGGTTCCTGCCCTGAGTTCCTACCTTGGGCTCCCTGATGATACTGTGACCTGGGAGATAAAAGCCAAGTAAACCCTTGTCTCCCCAAATTGGTATTGGTCAGAGTGTTTTGTCACAGCAATGAAGAAACAAACTAAGACAGAGCTATTAGGAGGTAATGAGTGAATTTTACCTATTAGAAGCCCATGAATTTGGGGAGCCAGAGGTTGAATATTTCTCCCTAAAATATGTTAAAGTGTAGTACTAATGTGCTGGGACTAAGAGGTGGAGTCTTTGGCAGGTGATGTGGTCAGAGGGCAGAACCCTCACCATTGATGCCAGTGTCCTTATGCATGTAGCCAAGGGAGCTGGTTGCTCCTTCCCAGTGTGAGAGTGCAGCTAGAAGCAGATGTGGGCGAGGAATGGCCCCTCACAGACACTGAATACACAGCCACCTTGAACTTGGTTCCCAGTCTCGGGACTGGGGGGAGCGTATTTATTTTAAAAGCCATTCAATCAATAGTGCTTTTGCTATAGTAGCCCAAAGAG